CATTAACCGAAATCTGGATTGGATCAACGCAATGTGCTTTGACTTTCACGGAAGTTGGGACACTTCAAAAACGGGGGCCCATGCGGCCCTTTATGACCCAAATACTAACATAAGCACGAGTTACGGGCTAACGTCATGGGTCAAGGCTGGGGTCTACCCTGAGAAGGTGGTTATGGGCCTGCCGTTGTATGGAAGGACTTGGAAACTCAAAGACCCAAACCAGCATAAGATCGGGTCCGATGCCGTCGGCCTGGGCCCAGGAGAAGATGGGGTGCTGACATTTGCACAGGTGGAGAAGTTTAACAGGAGGACCAACGCCACGGTGGCTTATGACACGGTGTACGTAGCAGCATATTCCTTCGTGGGGACATCCTGGATTGGGTATGATGATGTCCGATCAACAACGATCAAAGTGAAATATGCTCTTGGACATGGGCTTCGTGGCTACTTCTTTTGGGCAGTCAGCTATGACAGTGAATGGAAGGTCTCAAGTGCAGCTTCAAGAGCTTGGACCCCATAGGGAATGAAATAAGAGGAGGCATTCAGCTAGGAGGTAGATGAATGTATTGTATCAATTTGATATGGATTTTCTGTTGACTTGAATCTGGTTCAGTTCCTAAAAAGAAAAAAAGAGCCAATAGAATCCAATTCAATCAAGAGAGGTATAGATGTATGTACCATGTGTAACCAATAAATTTCTCTGAGACGAGCAGAGTGGACGAAATATATTGATGCTAGCTATGCTTTTTTTTTTTTCATCCATTCAACAAAAGAAAATAAAAAATGGAGATGAGAAAACCGCAACCGCTGGATTTGATGACCGAAGATTGTACTCAAAATGAAATGAACAACCCTAGATCGAATACGACTGCCGTTTACTGAGACTGAGCCAAGCAGGAACGCGAGTATCAGGGTTTTGTGGGTTTTATAGTCGATGAGATGGAGAGAGAAATGGAAGGTCGCAATCCCAAAGGAAGCACGGTTGGATCCCATTATATGGAAGGACATGGACACTCAAAGACCCAAATCAACATAACATTGGATTACCTACTGTTGGCACAGGGGTGGCAATTTGTCCCAGTATTCGCGAGTCCTATGAGAATCCCCACCATAAAGACAAGATAAGGAGGGAAATTTCTCCTTGTGGGACAGGGATGGGAGCATTTTCCTTGCAAAATTTTTTGAGAGTTTTTCTCACCCAGCATGATCTCCATCCCCATAAAAATTTAAAAAAATATATATATAAATTAATTTTAATTTAAATTTAATATAATTTTCAAACCCAAACTCAATTCAATAAAAATTTACTCAATTTTTTCCAACCCAACCCAATCCTTTTAACTCTAAGTAACCTTATTCATTTCTTTAGTTCTCACACTACCTCTACCTCTCACTCTCGACTCTTTTTGTCTTTCACCTTAGTCACCTTCGTCCTTCCCCTTTGGCCCTCCCCTACAAATCTCAAACCTTAAATCCCTCCATTCCCTTCATTGTCGCCCTTCTACCCTTCTCTATTTCACATCTCACCCTTTTACCTCGAACACACTGTTGTTGCCGAACCAGATCCATCTAGAGTTTGGACTACTACTGTTGAACCAATTCTATCTGGAGTTTGAACTACTGCTGTGTCATTGCTTTGTCGCTGCTACTGTTGCTGCTCAAAGTTGAAGTCGAAGTCGATCTGTGGATTGCTGAACAGCCTCTGCGACTACTGCTAAGCTGCTAAACTGTTTCTGCTGTCGGACCACTCCACCTACTGCTATAAGCTACAAATCCAAACGATAAGAAGTTTAAATAATTTGTTTGTGGGTTGATTTAACATAGAGAAAGTCTAGATTTTCTAGAATTTGCTAGATTCATTGACTGCTTATAGCCATTTCTATTAATGAATTGCCTAGTTAATTTATTTATATATATTGATATACATATAACATAAAAAAGTGTAGTAACTTCTCAGTAAAATCAAGAAATTGAGAAAATTGTGAATGCTTGGCTGTTTATTTAATTTTTAGAGTTTACTGGGAATTCTAGTGAAATTGTGAAAGGCAATAATTTTCATTAACTAGAGAAAAGTTCAAAGTTTATTTTATATTTTTGTGTAAAGTCATAACTGTTTCTTTTTTTTTTAATTTATTTTTAGGTGATAAATGTCTAATACACAAGAACAAAGTGTTGATTGATCATTTCAAGCTCCACCACCAATTCAAAAAGCTTATGTTTGGAACAACTTATGTTTGATTAATCTTTATTTATATTTGGAACAAGTTTATTGATTTAATTATTTATATTAAATTAATCTTTATTTATGTTTGATGTAAAAAAAATATATTTAAATATTAATTGATGGGGAATGGGAATGGGAGGTAAATCCCTGTGCGAATCCTCGTCCCCGCCATTCATAGGGATGGGGATGGGGAGGGACTTCTTAGTCTCGCGGGACCTGTTGACATCCCCATAGACCTCTATCCACTAATCACTACCCGCAATCCGCTAACTACTACACGTTATCGCTATCCGTTACTCATTACCAATTATCGCTATCGTTATCGTTATCCGCTACCCACTTTCCACTATTTGTTATCCAGTGAATTTTGACCATGATACCAAACAAGTCCTAAGAATATGATGCAATAAATAATAAGAGTTTCTTTTTTTTGTCATTTGAATATGTTAGACCATAAAAAATCTTTATGCAATCTAAATTTGTATAAATAAAGTAAAAGTCACTACTTTTTTTTGAAACGTACGATGTGATTTAAATCTATAAACTCTTATTTCTAATTAAAAAATATTATTATTAAATTATTTAAGTTATTGATAGGTCATTATATTTTGTTAACTGCATTCTTACCTTATATCATACAGGTCCCTTCCACTAACCATATTCGTTAGAATTGTTTATTCCATTTAAGATGGACCTAATAAGCAACAAAAACAAAGGCTTATAAGTGGTAGTTAAGGGT